TATCTCTCTCTCTCTCTCTCTCTCTCTCTCTCTCTCTCTCTCTCTCTCTCTCTCTCTCTCTCTCTCTCTCTCTCTCTCTGTCTGTGTCTCTCTCTCTCTGTCCCTCTCTGTCTCTCCCTCTCCAACTCTCTCTGGAAAGCTCTCTCGTTCTGGCTCGCTCTTGCGCTCCGCCGCTCTCGTTTTTCCTACCCCTCCCGCACAATGCAACCACCCTTCTCACTCGAAAGGCCTCCTCTCGCAAGCCAATCAACGGAATCATAAAAAGGCACGCACGGCATGTCTTGTGTCGTACATTCCTCCGCACACAAGGTGGGCTCCACGTCTTTCACAAACCCCGGGGTGGGGTCTAAATACACTTGTGGATGGTGGGCCCAAGTGGCGCTCCGGTCAACCGGACGGCGGCAAAGACGGGGGTCCCAAGGGGCAGCCCGACAACGACCGCAAAGCCACCAAAACCCCGACCGTCACCCCGAACAATTGGAGCCCCAAACCCAATAATTGCGCCAACACGACCCGAACTTGAGCCCCGGCGCCAGCTCAAAGCCGATCCCCAGGCCCTCTCACCAGCATGCCATGGGCGCTCCGCATTTTCTCCGGATTCAAGATCTTGTGTCTCCGCCCCACCTCAAAGCAGGTTCTGAGGGCGCACGCCTGTTTCGAGCAAAATCATCGGTCACACAAACCACAAAAGAGTACGACATCAAGGCACCGAGAGAAAGGGTGTCAGAAACTAGACACGAGCAGACCGAGAATACGTCGCACGATACCATGAAAGGGCAGCATAAACCACAGCAACGGCAACTCGAAACAGTACAAGGTCGGGAAGAGGACGAGGAACAACATTTTCTAGGCATCTCCCCGGCAGATCCTGAGAGCGCACGTCTGCCCCCAGCCATTAGAAACAGCGAGAGCAATATTTAGTGTATGTCTAGTCAATAAAAGGTAATCGTGGTCAATCAAAGGTTTGGGCGGCCAAGAACACTCAACGAAAAGGGCTTACCCTCCCAACAACACCTACTGAGTAAATCTCTCGCCTCACACTTCACGGCGAGAAAAAAAAAAAAAAGTACCACCGCGAAGTGAAAAGTGACTCTGCCGTCGTCGCTGCCCTCACCCAGTCGAGCGTGTAACCCCAGCCCGTCCGCTTGTGGACAAAAGAGTCCTCCCGGTAGCCGGTGGCTCCATCCCCGCACGCCGTTGCCGCCGGCGCCTTCCCCCCCCCGGCACCAGCTACCGACCACGCGTACGCGCCACCGCCACCACTGCTGCTGCTGCCGTTGCGGCCGCCGCCCGCCGCCCGAGCTTTCCCAGAGAAGACGGGGGCTGGGCCGCCCCTGCTGCCCCCGTTCTGATAAGGAGGCTTGACGGACGGAGGAAGGTGCCGAGGCTGCAGCCTCTTCGCCGCGCCGCTGGGCGGGGAGTAGGTGGGCAGCGATACCCCCGACGCCTTGTACATCCCCCACACGCTCCTGAATGTGAGCGAATGCGGTAACACGCGAGCGTAAGATAACGCGTTTTGTCAGACGTGTGTGTGTGGAGGAACGAAGTACTTTTTGAGTGTCGCTTAGATCTCTTGATATTGACCAAGCTCCACCCTGAACGAAGCACTCGGTCCAGACTTCGAATCAAAGACACCCATGTACATGTACCGCACATTTGTTGTACAAGTCTCTCTCGACGTTTGTCCGTCCTTCTAGCTAGTCCTCTCGAAGTTTGTACGCTCCTTCCTCATGTGCCTGACGCCGGCATGAATTAAGCGCCTACATGGGAGTGAACGCGCGCGCACCCCAAGGCCAACATCGCGAAAATCATACATGGCACACCTATTCTACTTGAGTATACCCTCTTTAGGGCACCTTAGCCTGTAACCACGGGAATCGACCGAGTCAACGCACAGGGGTGCGATCGATTTTCAAAGCGTAACTTCCCCACAACCAGGATGGTGCGAGCGTCAACTGATGCTTCTCAGGAAATCTCTCGATGAGATACTTCCAAAACCGCCTGAAAGAGTGGTAGCCTCCTGGTTGTGGAGAAATTACGCTTTGAAAGTCGATCGTACCCCTGTGCGCTGACTCGCAACCTTACGGTAATAAGGTAAAGATAACAACAACAACAACAACAACAACAACGACAACACTCTGTCGTCCACTCACGTGAAGAAGTGCCCGAGGTTCTTAAGCACGTACGGCAGCCTGTTGCCCCGCATGATGCGATCGACTTGGTCCGTGTACTGTACATGGTGCAGCGAGCCCTCCAGCACGCCAAGGATCTCCCTGGGGCAGAGAGCGGTGGGACAAGAGTGAGAAGGCCGAGTAATGACAGAAATTGGGAAAACACACACAAAAAAAAAAGAAGCAAGAACGAAGGGTACAGAACAGAACAACAAAGGCGAAAAAAAAAGCTTAAGAGAGAGACAGAGAGAGAGAGACAGAGAGACAGAGAGACAGAGAGAGAGACAGAGAGAGAGACAGAGAGAGAGAGAGAGAGACGTGTGCAGGCTGTGCGCCATGTCTTGGCGTGCCCATGCACCGTGCTGTGAGTAATATCTGTGTTCAGTTGGGTCCACCACGTCTGCGCACGCCAACCTTCCCCCAAGCGGCAGGTCCTGTGCTCCTTCATGACGGGCATCAACATTTCTGCAGGCGACGACACGCACTACAAATAAACAGAAAGCAGAGAGACCTTTTCTTTTCAACTGATGCCTCCCCCTAGGAACCCGACCAACACGTAACTCCCAGACGATACAACAGCCATGGAATCGTCGTGCACATGTAACAGCAAAAATGGCCCACACCGTGTGTTCTGTCGCTACTTGTAGGTGGGCGATACTCGTCACCCGAACGTCGGAGAAGAACGTTCAAGATACTGAAGCCGGCGGCCAGTGTGGTGAAATATGTCCTGCAGATGCCAACGCTCGACCTCGGCAACCGCACCAAATCCGGCAGGAGCCAGGGACAAACTTTCTGCTGGATGGGACAAAGCGTCCAAAACGGAGCCTAGGACAACGCAAAACGAAAAAAACTTACCTTTCTCGAGGGTCCAGCCGGAGGGGAATGTTGGTCGATCTGCGGTACAGATCGACGAGACTCTCCTTCTCTGACTTTGTCGCTTCCCTGGCCGGTCCTGCGGCCTCATCACCGCCCGCGGACACGCCTCCGCCGTTAGCGCCGACGGGCTTCTCCGACGCGGGTGCCGAGGCATGCGGCACCTCGACGTCCGTCCCACCGCCCGCTGCCGCTGCTTCCATCGCAGCCGGGGAAAACAACGGCACCTCGACATCCATATCATCCAAACCTGTTGCCCCAGCCTTCGGTGCTGGTGCCGACACCACAGCCGCTGCTTCTTCCCCGCCAGCCTTTGCCACCGCGCTAGAAGACAGGCCGTTATTGCTGCTCTCCCCGTGCCCGTTCTCGGTGCTCTCCTCTGCGCGCAGCCGTGCGTCCCCGTTGGCCGCCCTTCCTGCAGCTGGGGTGCTACCGTTCTCCGAGCCGCCGCCGCCGCCGCCGATACCACCCACGGCGGAACAATCGCCCTCCTGAGAATGCCGGCCCTGCCCTCGTCCCCCGCCCGCCACATCCACCTCCGCTTTCGCGTCTATGCCTACCTCACCATGCGTATTCTTCTTCGTATCTCCAGTAGGGATCGCGCCGTTCTTGCCGTTGGAAAAGCCTCCGGTTGGAGACCCTGGCGGCGTCTGCGGCTTGGAGAAGAAACTACCGGAGGGACACAGGGGGCCCTCGTGCCCTTCCGGCCTGCAGGCGGCACCACTACCGCTGCTACTACCGCTACCGCTACCGCTGCGATGTGCGCTGCTCTCCGGCGCTGCTCCTACTTCTATATCTACCCCCGTCGATGTTGATGGCGGTGTTAATGGTACAATTGTTGGCGTTTGTGGCACTGATGCTGCCTCTGGCGCTGCTGGTGCTGGTGCTGCCGCTGCCACCAAGGCGCTGCCGTTTAGCTTAACCTTCTTGGGCTGCCCCCCTGGCACCACCACTGCCCCTCCTTTCGCCGCCGCCGTTTCCCCGTTCCCCGTAATCGATTGTGCGCCCGTTGCCGCAGCGGGAGAACCCGAAGAAAAAACAGGTACCGCTTCTGTATTTCTATTCGCAGAATCTCCCTCCCATCCCTCCGCACTCTTCCCGTTCGCCGGCCCCGCGCCGTTGCCGACGATGGCCCCGTTACCATTTTGTCTCGCGACAACAACAGCCGCTGCCCCCGCCGAAGCCCCGCCCCCGTTCTCCGAAGAAACGCCTCCGACTTCTGTCCCTGCTCCTGCCGAAGAAGACGATGACGCTGGTATTGCCGGGTGTGGTGATGCGCGGGGTCGTTGGGAAGGCCAGACGCCGGCGAGCCAACCGGACTCCTCCAGTGCCTCCGGCGGAGGGGCTAACTCTTCCTCGCTGGGGGGGGGGGCGTGAGGGGGAGGGGGGGGGACGCATGGACGACAAATCTCAAGAACAAGATGGTCTTGGTGGGGTGAGAGATGGAAGACGGGCCCTTACGCCTGTGACAGCTCGTCTTCACCGTTGTGGGAAACTTCACGCCACACCTATCAGTTGTAGCAAGAACTGAGCAACGATTCACCGCGTCTTGCTTGAATGAGGTAGTGTGATCGCTACGTGCGATGTTGCCAGATGGCAAGGGCCAGGTAGTTCCACCAAACACAGAGGGCATCTCCATCTGGCTTGTGCTAGTCTCCTGTATATTTTTCTTTGCTCTCCCGGCACGTGTTGTCGCGGCTGGCCGTGTGACCCCGGGCTCTACGGGGAAACACCAACGTCCAACAACAACCACAACAACAACTCACAATAACAACAACAACAACAGCAATAAACACAAACAAGAGACTCACCTCCCCAGCGGAATGGTCTCGTGCTTGGCCCTCTCACCCCTGCGGTGCAACGCCGCCCAGCACAGGGAGCAGTACGCCTCGTCGCACTCGTGGCACAGCACGGTGGCCCTCGTGTCTTCGCACTCGGTGCAAAACCCATGGCTGTCCCTGCTCCACACTTGAAACGTCGGCCTGCGGCAGGCGCGATCAGCACGACGGGCGGCGTGGATTACGGTGTATATGGTGCAAACAATGCAGTACTCCATAGGTTGAAGAACGCAGTACTTGCGATTACTTGTTCCACTTTCCTGTTTGACCTTCCTCCCTACGCCCGAGAGGCATCTAGACCAGGGCCGGACAAAAAGGAACCAACACACACCGTTTTTTAACGGCCTAAACAGATGAATGCGTACGGGCTGTACTGTGGCGATGGTTGTGGCAGTCGACAACAACACGAGGGCACTGCTGGTTCCTCCGCTGGGTACAGACCGTAGATGACGTAAGATATCGCACCCCCTGGACCGATTTTCACAGCAAGATCACTCCACAACGTAGTCAACTAGGGCGTTTTCGGAAAGCTCTCGACGAGACAGACGGTTCCAATGTCGCCCTCTTTCACGCCACCACATCTCTGCTGTGGAGCAATCGAGTTTTGTAAATCGGTCCAGGGGGTGTGATATCTTATGCCACCAACGGTAGGTAACAAGCCGAGTGAACGAGCGTATTGCGCACAAGGTGTTACCGGAGGGTAAACTTTAGTCACATTACCGAGGTGAGATAACACCGCCGCAGTGTAACTGGCAAAACGAACGTCAGCGGCACTTTCGCGTGCGTGCAGGGTTCAACCAATAGGAAGCACACAAAGACCGTGTGCTCGGAACACGAAACGGGCCATCGCCAAGTGTGCCTACATGTACATGAACATGAACACACGCATCCATTACACACACTGTCAAATGGTAAAACGCATACATACGAACATCGGAGATAACACACTCCCACCGCCGTTGGCGAGTCACCGGGTACCTCCCCCTTATCCCCCGCCACACCCTCCCCTAGCAGCTCTTCGGTAACACAATATATTTAAGAAGAGGGTAGGTTACTTTGGGCGACAACAATGGAGAGACAAATCAGCTGGTACATATATTCTCTGCGGGGCCCCTTCGCTGCGACTGCTGACCAACATCGCATGAGAGAGAGGCGAATGTCGGTGTTCTCCGTACGTATGGTAGCACACAGGAACAAGCGTTCGAGGGGTTGCAAGCCAAAACAAGCATCCCCGACATTGGAGACAAACTAGAATCCCTCAGCAAGAGAAAAATAAATCTGCCCTCATGTGTTGGGGCCTGCGAGTGGGCAACGGCAGGAGGGGAGTTCTTGAGTACAAAACCATCCATCTCCACAAGAAGATTGCCTGCTACACACCCTAACGTGTTGCGATTGGTCTCTTTCGACGCGCACATTTGTTTATAACCCCCTTTATCTCGGAGGACGACTGGTTGCACTGCCTTTGGGCGTAGCCGAACAGAAGGTCAAACACTACAAAATGACAACCATGGCAGGTACCGGTGCTGCTGACGCTCTCCTTACCCAGCAGCTTTGGTGTTCGACAGCCCCTGTCCTTCCACGGCAGAAGAAGCAGCAGCACGCCCGTTCCCGTTCCCCGCGATACCATTCACCAACGCCGCCGCCGCCCTCTTCTTCTCCTGCATCATGGCCTCCCCGCCCGATGAAGCACACCGCGCACCACCCCAACTCAGCTGGCTCTCCGATAAACCCGCACCCTGTCTCCTCTCGCTCTCTTAGTCCACCGACACCGACAACGTTTGAATATTCGGCTCTCTCAAGCTGTATGTTGACTTCGATTTACCCCCGTCACAGGCCCAGCGCTCCGCTTCGCAAAAATGAGACCGCGGGGTTGTGAGTACGCCTCCGTTGTCCTTCGTTCGCCGCCTCGGCCTGCTGACTGCGGACGCTGGCTGCGCCTCTTTGCCGCATCCATCTGGGTGGGGTCTTGCTGTTTTGCTGTGTTTGTGGAGGTGGCACTGCTGTGCCGAATTCTGCGGTGCTCCCTCAGAATTCCACCGCACTTGCCCACATCGACATACACACGCCAATACGGGTCCCGGGCCCACACACCGCCCGTGGGACGTACGCGCCACACGCACCACGCACCACGCGGGCGGGCGTGGAAGGAAATCCTCTTGCCGTTTTCTTATCGTGCGCTAGTGGAGCTTGTTGTGGTCTTAAGCTCTGTTCGAGCGCACTTGACTCGTTCTGGTGCTGAACAATTCGTCGGCCGTCGGATCAAAAAATTGTGAGGAGAGACCGAGCGGGAAGGAGAGGGACAGAGGACAGAGAGGAAAGAGCTATCTACGCACGCCACGCCTGAAGGTGAGAGATTCCTATTTTTGTGCAAAGCGTGCTAAGCCCACGAGGCAGGTTAGAAGTACCTCCTTTCGCTTGCGTGTCTTGTTGGCAACACCCGGCGAGATTGGGGCAGACCCCGCGTTCAATACTCACCGCAGTATTGCGAAACGATGAGGAACATTCTGAACACAACAGTCGTATCAACGTTCCCGTCCACCACAAGGCATCGGGGGATACGGGCCTACCGATTGTCGCAAAGCCCTAGCCTTGACACCGTGCAGTGGCCTAAATATAGTGATGCAGGGCGATTGTGTCCCGCGCACAGCAGCGTTAGGGATAGGGTTAGTTATCTGCTTCCTTATTTTGCAAGGAAATTTCACCGACTGCTGTCTACAAGTGCGCTACATGCAGCAGATAATACCGCTGACCCGAGAGCCAAAGCGGAGCCCCGGCCCTCCTCCCTATTAACCTAAAACACATCGATCTCTGCAAAACATCTCATCGTGTGGCGACACCATGACTGCAGAGGGGTCGGCGGAATGGTTAGGGGCCCTTGAGGCAGCATCAAAGTCACATCTTGCAGACCGGGGTGAGGGTCTGGAACCCTCAGCCCCGCTATTTAGGCTTGTAGACTCCTAGACTGCTGTACGTAGACCAGCACATTAGTCGTCCCGCTGGGTGGAGACAGAGAGGGGGGGGTTAGCACGTGAGACGCAAGTCCAGATGCCAAGAGTCGAGACCACGGAGGTGAACAGACTGAACTCCGAAAGGACACATGACGGCCACAACAGCTGGAGGAGACGATGGACCATGCCGACAGGGGCCAGAGGCGTATTTCTCGCTGACTGTTGGGTCGATTAGTCCCGGGTGTCCCGGCTGAATACACAAGGCTTTGCTCGGAGATTGATTAGCTGGTTAGGGGGTGACACCGGTTAACCAAAACGGTGTGCAACGGGAGGCTCTCGGCAAGAGTTTTCATGTGAAGGCAGGATGAGATACCTGAGTTGTTGGCCCATGGAACACAGGATGTCGTTCCCTACTGACTGCTGTTTTGACATCCTGACAAATTCATGTCGCAACTCGTTGCGCTCGTGTGTAGCACCGGTTGACATGGTTTGTCATGCCCGTACCTCTGGTGCTACCATTGCCCATCAATGTCTTTCATCAGTCAGTCTTGCTCGTAGAGCTCTGCGGAGCAGCAGTAGCAGCAGTGTGGCGACCGCCTGTTTTTCCTTTCTGCATGTTATTCCAGCTGCTGTGTCAATCATATGATACCGCAAGCTGTAGTTTGGCGCCAACAATAGATGGGACGAAAACAACAAGTACGACGAGTACTCACTGCTGTGTTACCGGCGCACACGTACGCACATTCGCCCATGATACTCCCGGCCCTTACACCGATGCCGTCCTCCTTCCCCTACCCGAGTTCTGGCCGTTCATGTCTGAAAAATAGCGAAAGAATTGAGGGTTCGATTTTCACGGATTGTGACAACTTGGCCTGGTGCTGGATCTTTCCTATGCACACCGAAAGCCCGTTTATCCCTGACGGTTTCACGAGCCATAATAACGTGGAACCCTCGCACCCACTCCAAGAGCCTATGTTTTCCCTGTTGGGTTTCCCCACAAATGAAACGAGGGGTGAGTGTTGCGTAACATAGAAATTTTCTCGCGTGGTGTGTTGCGTGCTTTCCCTCCGCAACAGCAGGCGAACCAAGGTGTTATCTCCCTCTTGCTTCCCCCCAAGGACGGGGGGGTAGCGCGGGCAAGTATGGCGACGGTCAGGTCGGCGTCCGTCAGCGGCGGCGGTGGCGGTGTTGGCGGTGCCGCTCCTCGAACGGCCACAATGTTCGCGTGTGTCACGACGCTGTCGAACACCCTCCTGGGAGTCAGCGTGGTCGGGGTGGCGGGAGGCTTCGCCAGAGCCGGTTGGTTGGTGAGTTGCCTGCCTGTGGTACGAAGCTTCTTCGAAAGCGAATCACTTGTACTGTTGTTTCGCCAAAGAAGGGACGTGCAGTGGCATGGAAAATAGACAAGGAGAGCCGTTAAGTTGCACCAAAAGCAGGAACACAGAAGGCACCTTTGAGTAGAAATAGTTTTGCTAACCAAACGAGAAGTCACATGTGCTACAGCACTACAGCACTAGTATACAGTACGACAGCAGTAGTACTGGGGTGTTTTCTTTGTGGAGGTAACCCCCGCCAATCGACTGAACACCCCAACCACGGGCGCCTTTTCTGATCAGTGCGTTGCCACACCTTCCCAGACCCCCCCACCCCCGACCTCGAGGACGCACATAGCTTGAAAGGTGGCTCGGTCGCCACAGCCCAACGGTCGTGTGCCGCCGTCCAACGGTCCTATCACGCCGTCCTTCCGCCAAAGCGCACGGCCATGACGGTGTTCTCTTTCCTTGCTTGCCTCCGACCAGACACCACGCAGCACCACCCCATTCCGCACACACAACACAAGCTTTACCCGGCACGCCCTACTAGGGACAACCCTAGTCGTGGAACGCGCTTCCCTCGCTAACCCCCACCACCACCACCACTGTGAGGGAGAGCCTGGTCCGGTGAGAGCCCGGCGCGCTCGTCCCGGCTTTGTAGGGATGAGGGGTCAATGGTCAAATGACTACGGCATGCACGACTATGAGTACACCCCCCCCACCACCATTGTGACCCTCTTATCTCCGGCAGATTGGGACGTTCTACCTGATGGTCTTCGCGTGCCTCGCCGGCAGCGGCCTGCACCTGTTGGCCAGGTCGTCCATGACGGTGTCGGCGTTGGCGAAGCGTAAAGAGGACGCCAGGGAAGAGGCCGAGGGTGGGGGGGGCGGGGGGGGAAAGGGGGGAACGCGGTGTATCCCACCCAGCTCGTTCCGCGCTGTGGCACTTGTCGGAGCTCCCAGGTACCGAGAGGGGGAAGCAGAGGGGATAGGGTAGCAGGAGAAACTGCCGGATTGTGTGTAAGCCCCTCCGCATGACGGAAGTAGAAGTAGGGGGGGGGGTGGCGCTCATTCTGATCCCCAAGTGCCGGTGCGGCACGGTCTGAGGCGGCTCACCAGAACAAAATGTGTGCTGAACAAGCTGTTGGTTTGTTTGGCGGCGTTGCTGGTCGATGAGACCCCCTACCTGCCCGTGCCCCGCTCGCCTTCCCTCGCTTTTGGAACGTTTTTTTGTTTTTTCATTTGCACACAGGTGGGCGTTTCTGATCGACTTGGCGGTTGCCCTCAAGTGCTTCGGCGTCGCCACGAGCTACCTCGTCGTGATTGGGTGGGTCTTCTATCTAGCATTTTTTTTTTCTGTTGTTTTCGTCCTATCTGGGTTTTCTGCCGATGATTCCAGGGACCCGCCTTATGCCGACCTCCGCTTATGCGTAAACCATGCCAAGGCCGATGGAGACCCACACACGAAAATATTCTCCTGCTCCTGTGTCACCCACGGCTGACTCGCCCAACACTCATACGGAAATTTGTCGAACCCAACGCCGAGAAGGCTAATAAGGGTACACTTAGCTCAACCTTACACCCTGTAACCGCTGTCGGCTGCACAATGCCAGGGACCTGATGCCGACGGCCATGGACGACATCTTGGGCAGGTCCCACCCGGACTCCGTTCTCCGCGACAGGCACGTGTGGGTGACGATCGGGTTCTTGCTCGCCGCCCCCTTGGCCTTCAGCCGGACGCTTGGCGCGCTCAAGTGAGTCTGTCTCTCTATCCCTCCCGCCCCAGCCCTCTTTCTCTGGCCTTGCTCCTGTTTATCCCGTGCAGTTTGTGAATCCTCTCTTTCTGTCCTTCCCTTCCCTTCCCTTTCGTAATTCGTGCGTTTTTTGAGACTCCGCACACACTCTCTCGCTTTACTAAACTCCCGGTGAATCGTGCAGCGCCGTCGGTCGATGCCGGCTCTCTCTCTCCCTGTCTCTGCCTCTCTGTCTCGGTCTCGGCCTCTCTGCATCTGTAGTCCTCTCTCTGATCAACGCTTCGATCCGTATTTCGGCTCCGCGGCGTGATGTCATGTTGCATGTTTCACGCCAACATGGACCCCCATCCCACCCACCTCGACAATTGAACTTTCGGCTTCTGCACCAACCGCCGTACTACTACACTTGTAGTTTTGCCCGCAAAATGACACACGCGAAGATATAGCAGTGCGGCGACCGTCCCAGCAAGTGTTGGATCTTGTTGGAATGTGGTAATTACCGTGGTATGCATACCCATCCGCACAGCAGTCGGCGGGTCCTTCCAATGGAGGCTCCACCAAACCGGTAAGAATCTCCCGGTGGGACACAAGCAATGCACTGCCGTCCCAACGACCCCCCCCCCCTTTCCTCCGGGTGCCCCCCCCCCCCCTTGCCGTCACAAGATATACCGCGACCCTAGCCATCGGCCTGGTGGTGTTCCTCGCGGGCATGGTGATGTCCTTCTTGGTTCTGCCGGGATTGGACGCTTGCCCCCCGGACGAAACCGTCGCGATTTCTCTCAACGAGCCGGGAACCGCGGTGGAGGGCGTGGCGGCGGCGGCGGCGGGCGGGGAGAATTCCTCGAGGGGGTTGCAGCTCCTCGCTTCCTCAGCCAGAGGGATGCTGTCTTCTTCTCAAGCGGGGGCGGGGATCATGGAAGACATCGCCGGGTTTGCGTCGGCGGGAGGCGATTTCGATTTCGGCGGCGGGGACGAGGATGGCGGCAGCTGCTTCGAAGGCTCCAACGTCTTGGGCTCCGTGCAGACTATCCTCCAGGTGGGGCGGGCTGAGGACAGATACATTCGCTTCAAGACGATACACGTCCGTCTCAACAGGTTTTTGTGCATCCCCTTCGGCTGTCGTAGTTTTTTTCTCGAACGGGCAGTCTTTCTGTGTTGTTGTAAATATTTTCGACTGCTCTCGCGGCTCGCCGAATAACGGGGTGCGCGGTTTCACGTGCAATTTTCGCAGCTCTTTGTTTTGGTTTTGTTTCAGCTGTGCCTGTAGGCGATGGCGTTCAGTGGTTTCTGAAGCCGGCCCCCGTCGTCGAGTCAAGGTGAACCAGAGGTCTGACGATGGTTTGGTTGACTGGCGGTGATGTCACCAGGGGTTGGTTAACCCGACGATGTCGAGTTGGACACCGCGTTGTTTCTTTCGAGCTAGACTCGCCGAACACGAAAGGCTGATGTGCTTTGCAACGGAACCTGCCAAGCCCTGCACGACCCATGCCCCTTCCTGCGTAAATTCTATCCTCGCGCTTTGATTTGATGGGATACGTTATGTGCACTTCAAAAAGACAAAGTTTCGTGTGACCTGGGTGCTTGGCGAACCCCATGGTTTGCGTTACAGTCTCAACCCATGGCATTCCATTCTTCCAGTATGTCATATTCTCCGATTTCTGCTTCAGGTTGTCTTGACGGTTTCGCTCCGCCCCCCCCTCCCCGCACCTTCGGCCTGTACCCGCCGCGCCGCCACAGACGCTGCCGATCTTCGTCTTCTGCTTCACTTGTCACCAGAACATCTTCACGATCTGCAACGAGATAGTGCGGCCGACGCCCGCAAGGGTTGACACCGTCATCGGTGAGTGAGTTAGGCGAGACTGTCAGCTTGGATCTCGGGAATTTTCACGGGACTGTCGACCATTAGGTCCTTCCCCCTCTCGCGCCCGCCAGGCTCGGTGTTCTTCCATGGGGCAGGGTGCTGGTAGGATGGGTTTTTTGTGGTCCTCCTCGTTACCCCGCTGTCCCTTGTTGGCTGCAGCGCCCGCGTCTCGGTGCTGGTTTCTCGCCGTACGTTTCTCCTCCGCAACCGGGCATGTCCGCGCCTCCTGCTACCGTCGCATCGAATCAAGTTGTTTCTTAGTATATACACATGTACCGTCGCTGAAAGATTACCTTTTAGAGACAATACTTCTGTGCTCCAGTCGAAGGGACGTGTTGAATGGAGTCTTTGGGGTGAACGGGGAATTGAAACCTGCTGGGTGCTGGGCTAATTTTGAGTCTTCATATCATAAGCCTATTCACTGAAGGATAAGTGATGCCAGCTGGTACTATTCACAAGTCAGTTCCTGGCCCGCGCCCGTGGCATGTAAAGTGTACCTCACGTGATGGGGCTGATGATGGTTTTGGGTACCAACACGCACGATCAATTTCGAGTAGCGGAAAACCTCCAGCGATAGTGTGACCCGTCTCGGGAGGGGGCTACGCGGTTGGGAATGAAACGCCAACCGGCCTTCTTAACGCTGACGCAAGTCTGGAATCGAATAGAACTCTTGTGTCAAGCCTTGATTCCGTCGAACCCACTTTGCGCTCCAGCAAACGGGGTCCTGCTTCTCCACCTCCGCACATGCCCTAGCGCTCACGATGCCCAACTTGAAGTCTCCCGCATGCCAGTGCGCCAGGAACGTAAAGGAAGCAAGTGACCACCCCCCCTCCCCTCTGCCGTCATCTTTTACCCGCCGAACCAAAAAGCCTGCTCCATGGCCGTGGCCATAGCGATATACATGTCTATTGCATGGGGAGCTTACGCGACGTTCGGCGTCGGCGTGGATGGGGACCTCCTAAAGACCTACCCGCGCACCGGTCTGCTCACGGCGGCTCGGATCTGCGTGTCCATGCTGGTGACGTCATGCTACCCCCTGCAGGTGAGAAAGAAATGATTAAAAAACAAACAGCGAGATTGTTTGCCGCTTTATTTATTTCATTTTTTGCCGCAATGTTGGCACGCGATGCTGCTGCTGTTCCTGTTGTCCTCTCGAGAACGGGGTGAGAGGTAATGCTCGGGGTTGATGTGTCTGCGAATCCTCGCTGTGGTGGCAGCGTGTTATTTTTTTCCACCTCGCTCCGAAGCGGGAGTTTGGAGTCTGGGTGTATCTTTCAACAAGTCCAATTATCGCCAAGCCTTTAGGTTACTGCAGGCCAATACGACACATGACAAACCCTGCGCTTCTCTGTCCCCCCCCCCCGATGATAGGGGTGCTTACAGCACAGCAGTGCGAGTGTTGCTGTGTCCTATTGTGAATCATTGTTGTTTGCCGCGCATTTTACCAACCCACATGGTAAACGTTGGGCAACACCCCCCTGAAGACGCTGCACCTGTCGCACAATAACTTGCCCTGAATGGAGGAAACATTCTCTCCGATGAAAACAAATGTTTTTGCGAAGTACAGCACGCCGTTGCTGAATACCCACATCGTGTAAGAGGGGTGTAGCGCCCTTAATGGACAGAATACCACATATAGGGTTAAGGGAGTTTTTACGCTCGACTTTGATCGGCTGGATTCTATGCCACACGTTACCAAAGCCCACAGTGGGTGCAGGCAACAGTGTTGTTGGATCCAGTCTGCGTTCCACATTAATTCCATCCAAAACATCACGAAGCCAAACGATGGTATGCATACGTTTCTGTGCCATATGCTTTCCTGCAGGTTTCTTCGATGCTTCGGCTATATGATCCATCAGTGCCTATTCCCCTTGATTTTTGTGTGTTCTGCGTTCACGTTTCATATATACTGCATGGTGAAATCGCCGAAGTCGCTGGCCTACTCCTTTCGTGTTTGGAACAGACGTGCACATGACAAGTCACCGCGGTTCCCTGTTTTTTTAGTTTATTCGAGCGAAGCGAGATTTCTAATCTGAACTGCCGGCCCCCCGAGTTTCAAGGGCTCGCTGACACCCAAAAAATCTTGCGTGTCTGTACGCGCTTTATCTAGGTTTTTTCAGGATAGACCTCGTACTCGCTTTTTAGACTACGGGGGTCAGCGGATGCACTTTTTTTTTCGGAGAACACAGCGGATTGCAGCAGAGAACACACGCACAGCGGGCGACAGCATCACGGCTCGATGCCGCTGGATTCTCTGTGGTGTGATGAGGGTATGCATTGTGCTGTCGTGCATGGTTTTTTTTCACCGCCGCGTTCATCAACTGCCAGCAATGTGAGCACAGCACCACATTAGTTCTCGACACCTAGGACACCGCGCCTCTCCATCGCACCACTTCGAGCGTGTGATCCATTGTGGTGTCTCTGGGCGAGATTGTGTTGGGCATGGGTGCGGTATGTGGCGAGAGCATCGTGGCGATGTGAAATCCGGTTTGGAGTTTTCGCCTTGCGATGCGGCCCGATTGCCCGGGCCAAAAAAAAACGATTTAGATTCCACGCCGCCACGAAGGTCTTCCCACACACAGCACCTATGCCTAACACAACTGTCACGGCCCGAGATATCGCAATGGAGCACACGCTGGAAGTGGTGCCATGACGATTGGTGCGCTTGGTGACGCGAAATGACTTGTGTTCGCTGTTTCGCTAGCAGTTGGACAATACCGAACAAAAAAGAGGGAACAGGGGGTTCAGCAATAGTATGCGGCGGGTATGTATGACCACGAAAGCGGGATGTGGACGGGGGGGGGGGGGGTTGACCGATAGGTGAAAGGTAACGTTACCACAGCTCTCACACCAGCGCACAGCAGGTAGGTGAAGTATCAAGTGTGCGGTGTTTGCACTCCGTTTCCGCCCGTGGACGCACACGTCTGACGACAGTTAGTATATCTATTCGATTCATGGCGGTTATGACCTTGCGAAACCTTGGTACCATGGTAAGTTCGATTTTCCCGTACACGTACGCAAGATATATATTTTTCTCTGTCGGTCAGACTTGGGGTGCATTTAGATGGCTTACAGTGTTCCAAGACCTGTCTCCTCTCCGTATGGGTGCTTCCAACAGCACGCTCCCTCTTTGTGGCCACCTGCGTCTTGATGTCAAGCGCTGTTTTTCCTCTCCCACCTCCCACCGTGACACGTCGAGAGAAGAGGGTGCTGCACTCTTCGCAGGCAAGCACCGCAGGAGGGGCCTCAGGGGGAGGACCCCTTCTGTGTAACCATGGATTACGGCTCCAACGGCTGTTAGCGCTGTCTAAGTGCTGAACAAATGAACATGATTGTCCCCTCGCCCTGGCCACGAACTACTTGTTTCTCCTCGCGTAACCCTCTTTCCAGGCACACCCGAGCCGGGTGTGCATCCTGTCAACATGGAAGGCGTTTTCCCTGGACATGCAGGAGGCATACTCCAGCCTCGCCACAGACGACGGTGCCGGGACAGAAAAGGACACCGCCGAGGACTCAATCTCGCCGTCCCTCCGACGTCACAGAAACGCCTCCGGTCCGCCGGAAGCCCCCCTCTCCAGCACCGGCAGCGTCGTCGCAGATGGCAGCACCGCCGCCTCGCCGAATAGCCTTGGCAGTAGAGACGGGGGGGCGTCGCCGAGCTCGGACCCGGGACAGCGTGGCAAGAGGCGGCTGCTGGGCGGCGGGGAAGCGATCGGTGGACCGACGTCTGCTGCCCAGGGCGGTGTCGGAGGAGACGGCCATAACACGCGTTTCGAATCACAAGAGGGGGGAGAAGATGCGCGGCGGGGGACGGCGGAGGTAGAAACGCGGTTTTTGGGGGTGGAAGACCGCGAGCAGCGGGGGGAGCTACTATCGGAGGGCGCCGCCGCCGCCGCCGCCGCCGCTCCGGACGAGGAGGCCGGCGTGGGGCGAGGGGGTGGGGAACACGTGGGGTGGCGGCAGCACCACCTCCAGGGCGACGCAGCGGATATTGAGTCGGCGGGGCGGGGGCGAACGTTCCCGAGAACGGTCTGTAGTGCAGGGCAGGCCGCCGTAGAGGGGGAGGGAGAGACGGCGTTCTGGACGTCACCGGAGGGGCTCCGACATATCGTGGTCACGGCGGCGTTTTTGGCGCTGTCGTACACGATAGCGATGGCGGTGAACGACCTGGGCGTCATTCTGGAGGTAGGTGTGTTGCGAGAGAGAGGGGAAAGGCCGGGGGGGGGGCTATGTCGCGTACAGTAGCACCAGCCTTTTTTCAATGTTTGAAGAAAGATGGATTGTTATCGCTACGGCTACGGCACCCAAAGCAACAGCTTCAAAGGCCGATATGCTACTGCTGGTTTTGTTTTGTGTTCTCCGATAACCCGCATCTCATTCCCATCTGTATGTGATGGCCCCGACTGAAACAGCCGGTGCTTCCACGCCCTATCCAGCTCGAGTCCATCGCCTTCGAGAAAAACCGCCGCTGATTGTCCCCGCTCTCAATAGTGTCAACGTAAACTCCCAACCCTGAAGAACGCTTGATATATCGCGGATAGATCTTACACTTCGTCCTAACGTTTCCGAATGTAACGTTTTCAACCCCTCGCTTCTTTCCCCCCGTCCTCGCTGTTAAGGTTGTGGGAGCCACCGGATCGACTACCGTGGCCTTCGTGCTTCCGGGCCTCCTTTACCTCAAGCTTCACCCGGAGCCGCACCCAAAGCGAAGCCTGGCTACGCTGCAGCTGGCTGTGGGTCTGCTCATCATCCCGGTCGCTTTGACTTTCATCGCCCTCGGGCACTCTGCGGAAGGCCAGAGGTAGTCTTGAAGCGCATGGTGAAAGAGACGGAGTGATGGTACCCCCCCCTTAGAGCTCGATTGCTCCACAATCAAGGGAGCCCGATATGTGTACGGAAAGCCCTTGACGAGATGTTTACGAAACCAGCGTGTGGGCGCAAGCCTGGTTGCGGAGCAATCGAACTTCGATAATCGGTCAAGGGGGTGTGACATGTCTCCGGCTTAATGGTGATGGCCGCGACACCTCGTGGGCGGATGGGTTCCCACTTCCCTTCGTGTGCACTTTGTTGTGTGGTCTTGAAGTTGTTGTAGGTGTGGTGCTGTTTGTGTCAGGCTTGCCATCTGGGCGGCATGTCTGGGGCTGTACGTAGATACCTTGTGATACCCGTAGTGACGCACTAGGGTTTGGCACTGTGTTGTAGCGCCGGAGTGGGCCCAGAGGCAGAAGGAGAGGATCGCATTGCGTGCCCGAAACTTTCCGAATTGGTCCACATCGGTCTCGCTGAATTATGATATCTGTTGGCACTGACTTGTCTTTCTGGTGAGTAGTCTGGTGGGTGGAGTAGTTGTCCATGTACGAAAAAACACAAGGTTATTCTGCTGTTGTTTCAGCGTGTAGACCATGTTGTTTGCGGGGAGTGGCCGGGTTGGAACTTGGATCTGGTCCACGAGATGTTGTTGTAGGTCACGGTGGAAAGCTAACATCCACCCGGCTGATCTCGCCTCTCGAGCTTGTGGCATGTGTGCAAAGCGTGCTTCACTAGTGAACTTGTAGCACGTACCAATAATACGGCGAGGAACTGCGACAGGATTTACTTTCTAGCGAAGATCCCCACCACATATAATCCTATTTAGTAATTCTGAAAAATACTTTTTACCGACCCATGCTGTTCTTACTCTCAAGCTCTATCATTCGCCGGCAGAGGCCAGCCCCCCCCTCCCCCCCACCTCGCCTTGCTCTTCACACCTGACCCTGTGTCACACCTCCTCCAAACAGATACATTCTTCCCTGCGGCTCACACCCAAGGCCATCCTGGCAATTCAAGAGATTCGGTGCTTGCGTGGAAGAGGTCTCTGCTTGGAGACTATATACCTGGCATGAACTGATCCTCCATGAGCCGTGCACGTAGGCCGAGAGCAGAGAAAGTCCGTCTTGCACAACTCGCGACCGGCCTCACCTCTTACTGCCTGCTTTCCCCGCCCTGACTGTTGTGTAAACAGGTACGACTTTAAAATTCTCTCTCTCTCGCTTCCGTACAGCACCTTGTTTTCTCTCGGGCGATCCGGGCAAAGCGTGTGAAGACAATCACACCGCAACGCTTTTTGACACCAGGGCGAATCACGCCACCCTACGCCGGCCACTTTCGATTTTCCGTCACCCCCGGCAGGGAAGCAGAAGGACTCATCCAGTGGCCAACGCACACATACCATTGATGACAAAATCGTGTTCGGGCATCTTTTCCCGCTACAAGACCGACGTATTTTCATTGGTCAGTCGGTTGGCGCGGTCGACGGTAATTCCACTCACACGCACTGACACTGAATTATTTTCACCGGTCAGCGGTTAGCGCGGTGGACGCTAATTCAAGAAACGCACACACCACACAGCAACTCGCTTGTCTGAAAGTAAAGGGGTGAGAGAAGAAAGGGAGACCGAAACAATTTACCCCCGACATGAACTACACGGTGCCCCCCAACGCATTCACCTTTTGTCGAGGGTGGAACAAAAAAATGCACCCCTTGAAGATACACCCGTCATGCATAGGTTACACTCTCACTCTACACTTGACCGTTTTCTTGCTAGCTCGATGGCTTTTGGACCCGCGGTAGCGACCACCGGTTTTCCCGGGTCACCACCACCACCACGAACGCCATGATTAGCCCCGGGCAGAGGCGCAAGCACATGTACATCGCGGATCCCATTTAGTCCAGAAAAAAAAAACACAAGCGGAAACAGCAATCGACTGTGAACAAGAAAATTTACGAGCTAGGATATATGTACCACCTTCCTGCCCCACCGTTCGCACGGCTCACGGAAAACATCGCAAAGCCTCGCGCTTGATGCGGGTTGTGAGAAACTAGAGGCCGGAGACCCACGACGTGCTACAGCTCCGATATTTCTCGGAGAAGGATAGCCGCGGCCGAAAGACGGCGGCAGCACGCGTGTACGAATGATCCCTACCCGCACCCCCCGATCGTCAGCCCACCGGGCGGTTGGCCTCCAACTATCGGCAACAACTCCAGCACAAAAGGGCGTGAGCGCCGGAAACACGCTCCGACGAAAGCCCAGTCTCCAAAAAGCTTCCGATTACAAAGGTCCCTCTACAAAGGCCCACTACCCATCACTTAGGGCATCATCACCATTGACGCCCCTCTTCTCCCCGCATTCATATCACCAACGAGGTCCCCGGTTTATTATAGGCGTGCGGCGACTATATCGTCGCCGACGCGTGATACAGGCCCTCACACACGAGCATCTTAGGAAACATTACGAGTTTTTTTTTATTTGGGCCTTCTTGGCCCCTCCCAGATACGTTCGTCGGTAAAACAGCGCGAAGAACACCAGGTACATGAGGTAAAGCCCGAGGCCGGCCAGGATCGGGGTGGTGTTGTTGTGGCACTGCGGACGATGGTTTTCGACGCGCGTACGTCCCACGAAAGAGGCACCGGGGGTAAAAAAAAAAAAAATTAGCAGGGCAGGGTTGGTTGTAGTGCGGTGGCAGCTGCTGCTGCCGATGAGACGCGACGTGAACACGTTCTAAGAGACGAACAAACAAAATGACTCGAGGGTGGGCAGTGAATCGAACTTAGGGTGTCGGCAATTTTTCAGCGGTACAGTCGACGGTCCTCAATAGCGGTGCCCTCAATAGCGAGATGCCCTCTATAACGGCAACAAAATCGCTTGGCACGAATGCATCCCTCAATAGCGCTATTGAAGAATGAATCCTTTATTGTAGCGGCATTGTGCCGCTGAAAAGGACAATATAATGCAAGACAAAGGCGAGGGGAGCATCAAAGGCCATAAGGATTCAGGGGTGGCGGGGCTGACGGCTGCACTCAAACGAGGAGGAGGAGGAGGAGGAGGAGGAGGAGGAGGAGGAGGAGGAGGAGGAGGAGGAGGAGGAGGAGGAGGAGGAGGAGGAGGAGGTCGAGTATTAAGGGTGTTAAGGCTCTCGCAGCGGCCGCGGAGGCGGCGCTCAATGAGCAGACACATGACAACTTTACAGAGGACTCCAACTCCGACTCCGACGAGGAGGAGCTGAACGACACGGGGGAGGTTGAGAGTGCTGGGGGTAGGAAGTTGATGGCGCAGCCGCCGTACTCGGTCCACTAGAGCAGTACGCACAGTCGGCCGGAAATGACGAGGCTGAGCATCTTCTTCGCAAGGCCAACATGTCGTTCCTCGCAGCCCACGCCTCTAATAAACCGGTCCAGCAGTCAGACATGATAACGTTTTTCGGATCATAGGCGCGTCTGTCAAGCACAGCAGCAGTAGGAGTGTCTGCTCTTCATTTTTTTTTGCTCCATTTAACATTTTTTGTGTACGCTGTGTGTGGTTCTGTTTCCACCTGTGGTTCATTGATTCATCGTTGCTATCATTCTGTTTTCTGTACGGTTCGTTGCTCTGCCACGATACGCTAGTGGGGGCGTAGTTGTAGAGTACAGTACAACAGTACAGTACAGTACTACAGCACAGTACAGTACAGCAGTACTGCACGATGGTGAGGATTTCTGATTGAGCCAACTCAATACCGCACAGTACACCCGTACAAGAGTACTGATCTGGTGTCAATACTAACTCAAAGTAACTATGAACATGCTGCTAAACGAGTGTACTATCGGACGTAATGGCGTAGGTAATACATGACACCAACGAGCGTAGTGTGTGTGAAAAAATACGGCTTCGTTGCCGCTCTCATCCTCAAAAGCGGTATTGATACCGCTATTGAGGAATGGCTTCGGCGTTGTTGCCGCTCTCATCCTCAACAGCGGTGTTAATACCGCGAATGAGGAACAGCGGTATAGTACCGCTATCGAGGAATAGCGACAGTGCCCTCAATAGCGGTATCAAGGCCTCTTGTCACTACCTACCGCTGATGAGGACCGTCGACTGTACTGTACCTCCGACACTCGTACGACACGCAAAAAAATTCATGCGCGAAGACTCGCCGAAGGGGGTGAACATCGAAGGAAGAGCTTCGAAGGGAGAACACTATGTAACACGATGCCAGTAGGACGGCAATTCTGCGAGGCTATTGCTTGCGTGGTGCAGCCGCAGGTCCGACATAACGGGCCTGGGACGTGTCAACACTGATACCAAGGTACACGCCAGCAATGAACGAGCACACCCAAATAAACCAGGTGGTGCAAGGAATATGGGTGGGCCAGAGTGAACCTTGCAACGCCACAGGCAGGCATACTTGAGTGCAATAACTGAAGAAATCCCGTATGGCGTAGTGATTGTCACACTCGAGGCTGTTGTACGAATTTTAAAATGCTTGCAGTTGTGCGCGGTGCGTGAGCGATGGGAAAGGGAGGAGAAGATTGGGGCGGCCCCGCAACTATGAGCTTCGTCAAGCAACGACATGCATACAAAAGAGTATCACAGCGTACATGTTCATGCTGACGAACGGCTGCGTCAAGCACACGAAGAGCTGTGAACATATGAGATGTTCTGAAGGTTGCGCGCCGGGGGGCGGGGGCGGGGGGGGGCGTACTCTTATGCTTTCATGCCGTAGCGGCTAGATCATTGGCAACGGGCCGTCGAGAGGATGGGGCACTGTTCCCACAGGACCGGTCACCGATGCCCAATCGTGCCTTCCTACTTTGGCAAAGGTAGCCAAAAATGCTTTCCCTACCCTATCGAGATCACGTCCCGCCTTTTCAGCCAATTCCAATACCCCAGCATAGCTGCGGGGGGGGGGGGGGGGGGGGGACCCCAAATCGGGGTTGCCGAAACCTTTTAAAAATGACCCCCCCTCCCCACAAAACCGGGGAGGAAAACCCCCGGGTTTCCCCCGAACCGGGTCTCCCATTCCCCAAGGCGAAACCCCCGGGGGGATTTTGGGAAGCCCCAGAAGGGGGGGCCGGCTCCCGGTAAAGGGGGTCGGGAAATTTGGGTTTCTTTCCTGGGGACGGGGGAAAACCCCCTATGAATTTATTTTTTTTTTGGGGGTTTTCCTTCCCAAAAAAATTTTAAACCCTGGGTAACTGCCCCCAGGAAACTTGGACCTTTTTAAAAAACCGGGGGGGAAACTCCCCCCTTGGGCGGAGAGGGGGGTTCCCACCCCCCCCCAAATGATCTTATCCACCCCCCTTATGGGTACCGCCCAAAAAAAAAACCAGGGAAAAAAAAAAAAAAA